GTGGGTTCAATTTCTACTACCAGCTGAGGTTGCAATGAAATTTTCCTTCTCTGACCCTCAGTTCTAATGAGAGAACTGTCCTAATGTCTGGAAAGATTATGGCTACTTCACCTTTATTCACCTGCAAATAATAACTTTCTCTTCTAACCTGTTGAGTTTTCTGCCACATTTTAATTAATAGCATCTTCAAAGTTCTGTTTATTTTTTTAAAAAAGGAAAAATCACTGTATCCCTGTAAGTTCTTTAGAACTACTGTTGGGTCAAAAAGAAAATGCAATCAATCTGTCTGATACCAAAACATATCTAATAGCTGCTCAACAGGAAGGTAGGAAAAACATTCAAACACCAAATGTACCTGTGAGACATCAATTTATAAGCAATATATAGGCAAAACACTCCAGATGCTACAAATTCAAAACAAACAGAATACTGGAGAAACTCGGTAGATCTAACAGCATCTGTGGAGAGAGAAAGAGAGTCAACATTGAGTCTGGTATTTGTTTTTCAGAACAAACAACTATTTCTCTCTCCACCGATGCTGCCAGAACTACTGACTTTCTCCAGCATTCTCTGTGTTGTTTTATAAATGTGAACTCGTTGGGCTGATTGTGTACATATTTTTTAAAAAAATTGTTCATGCAATGCAACCACCAGTGGCTAGGTCAGGTGAAGGTGGGGCAAAAATCCCCATCAGTTTTTGGACATACCCTGGACTTAAAACTCTCTGAAGACAGAAGTTGTGGAAATTACATTGGAGTAAATTCACTGAACTTTTGGGACTCCAGAAAGCATGGGCTACAAAGGCTGGTTGGGACAGACTGGGGAAGACGCAAGCCCAGGGGCAGATGTCTGGAACAGGGGTTAGTTTGCAGAAACTAAAAGACCCGTTCATGCTCCAGCTTAAACAGTGGAAGCCAGACTGTAGGAAACAAACAAAACCTTGGACCTTCTGGAGCCTACAGAGATACAAAGCTATTCAATTTTCCAGCCAGTGCTCAGGCACAGAAATACCAAACGTTCCACACCATTGTGCTATGTGCAAACCTGTTCCACCTTTGGATGTAAAAACATTCACACCACTTTTCAAACCTGAATGAATACCAATCCAAGGGAAATACTGGACATTCCAAAACCATTCACCTTAAATCAAAAAACCATTCACACCTACTCCAGTGATCATGAAGTTCATTCAGCCCCGACAGGAGGAACAATAGCCCAACAGATTAGGTGGGAGATAAGGGGACCCGCAGTTGGGTACAGCTGGACCCCCTGAGCCCAGCTCTGGGCACTGTGATACCAGCAACATGCCCCGATTCCAACCCGGTGTGGGCTCCGCAAGGGGAGTTCGAGAGTCCGAGCAAGAAGTAGACCTCGCTCACGAAGGAGAGCGGCCTTCACAACCACTAAACACCAGCAACTAACCACAAACCTCCACTCAATGCCTAAAGGCGACAGAAGGCATCCAGAGATACAAGACACTGATCAGGGCAACACCAACAACATCCACCACCATCCAAACCAACAACCCACTCGCAAAGATCACCAAGAAAAGAAAGAAAACCCAAGGTACTCACTGGTCTGGTCCAATGTGTCTAACCACATCAGCGGTTTATGGGGAGGTGATAGCCTAGTGGTATTACCGGTGGATTGTTAATCTAGAGACCCAGGTAACGCTCCGGGGACCTGGGTTCAAATCCATGGTAGATGATGGAATTTGAATTCAATAAAAATATCTGGCCATGAAGTCGTTGCTCATTGTCAGAAAAAAACCCATCTGGTTCACTATTGCCCTTTTGGGCTGGAAACTGCCATCCTTACCTGATCTGGCCTCCATGTGACTCCAGACCCACAGCAATGTGGTTGACTCTCAACTGCCCTCTAGGCAATTAGGGATGGATAATAAATGCTGCGTGGTCAGCGACACCCTCATCCTGTTAATGAATTAAAAAAAAAGCAGATACCACCAGACTGACTGTTATCGGAAGTCGCGGCCCTTTACGGAGTCCCAGCTATGGCAAAAGACTACAGATAAGGCCCTGTCAAAATTGTGTTTCACTCCAGGGGCAAGCTTAAGGTCATGGAGACCTTTTAAACCAGCTTGGCTAGTCTTAGATAGGGGAAGGTGGGATTCAGGGTTAATGATGTAGGGCACCCCTCAGGAAGGGAAGTGGAATAGGATTTAAGGTCAGCAGGTAATCTCTCTCTAGCATAGGTAACAGCCACCCACTGTATCAAATCTTGGCTGTGAAGCTTAACTGGAGGCCAAGTTAACTGGGAGACCAGTCTCAGTCAGAATAGGCAGGTCTTGATATTCACTTTCTTGTTTTCTGTAAACATATTCAATTTGCTGTTTTTCAATAAATTATTTTTTGCCTCTGAAGCATCTGCCTTCTGTGTTTTCCACCACACCACATTCCACTACATAAGCCCAGTGTCAGAACCAGGGGGCTAGTAAACGTAAACCAGGCAGCACTCCCTACATAGGACTGATTGCCCCTGCCTAATTTCCCAGAGGGCACTTAAGAGTTGACTACATTGCTGTGCGTCTGGAGTCACAATTAGGCCAGCAGATATCCTTTAAAGTACTTTAAAAAAAAAACCAGACATTTTTTTAGAAACTGACAATTGACAGCGGTTACATGGTTAACGTGAAGCTAGCTCTACATTCCAGTTTGTGTGAATTTAAGTTTCACCATCATAATGGGGTTTGACCTCACGTCCCTAGAACATTATGCTGGTGTACTAGATTGGGTGGAACGGTTAGCAGTGCTATCTCACAGTCCTAGGACCTGCGTTTGATTCCAGCTTTGGGTGACTGCCCATGTGGAGTTTGCGTGTTCCCTCCGTGTCTGTGTGGTTTTCCTCACACAGTCCAAAGATGTTCAGGTTAAGTGGATTGGCAATGCTAAATTGCCCAGTTGTGTCCAGAGATGTGCAGGCTCGGTGGATTGGCCATGGTAGAATGAGCGGCTACGAGGATAGAGTGGGGTGCTGTTCAGAGGGTCGGTGCAGACTCGACGGGCCGAATGGCCTCATCCCGCATATTTAGGGATTCTATGCTTGTTAACTTTAGTGACATTATCACTCTACTACCAAATCCCCTTTTTGCGTTTGACACAGACTGTTTCTCTGGATTAGCTGCTGTGATGCATAGGCAAATCCGAATTCCTCACCAAGTGTTATTCCTGCTGCTATTTAACAAACACGCTCTTTCAGCGACAGACGCAGCGAGGCCCATAACTGATATCTCTTTCTAAAAAAAAAGCAACAAAATTATCCTTTCGTTAAACAGGTGTAAATTAACTGTGTAACTAAAGCGCACGCAAACTCCATATAAGGCTTCTTGTGGTGCAGCACCACTGTCCCTACCTCTAAGCCACCTGCTCCGGAGATATGTCATAATATTTCTGAATAGATTGGTTAGAAAATACGTCCACGGTAACTCCGTGGGAATTAAACAGTGATTACTATAAAAGTCCATCTTCTCATCAGCTGTGACAAACGTTGCACTACAGAAGGGAGCCACTAGATGGGGTTGAAATGCGTGTCATCCATATTCATAAATGGATATCATTATGAAACGTGCTTATTTGGCTCAGCTCCTCATTGGATCAAAACACTAATCTATGTAACTCCCACATCATGTACGAGAATAGAGATACCTAAGAAAACACCTTTCCTAAGTAACAAGGTGTAGAGCTGGATGAACACAGCAGGAAAGCTGACCTTTCGGGCCTAGACCCTTTCCTGCTCGGCCTGCTGTGTTCATCCAGCTCTATACCTTGTTATCTCAGATTCTCCAGCATCTGCAGTTCCTACTATCTCTGAAACACCTTTCCTAAGTAATTGAATTTATATATATAAATATGATATAAAATCATCACTTTCACCAATTTCGTGAAAGTTATTTTTATATTAGTTATAATTACAAGCATGTCATAATTAGAAACACAAAAAATGACCAACATACACTTTAGTTATGCAACAAGGGTAGAAGGATAGTGTAAAGGAATGGGCCTAATAAAATTCCTGTGGTTAGGCTGTAGATCAATTGTAGTTTAAGCTTTATTTTGCCATGATTGCCTTTGTTGTAAGAGGAGGGGCTGAAAATAGAAATACAAACAGGTTTAGGGTAGAGCGAAGGAACAATATCTGTAAAAGTTTAAAGCTGCGCCCCAGCAATACGCAGGGAGTAAAGCCCAAAATACACACAGGGAGCAAGTCCCAACAAATACGCACAGGGAACAAACTCTACGTACACCCATAGGGCGTAAACTCCACATGTACACAGAGCAATGCCCGAGATGCACTCAGAGGCAGCAGGCGGAAGACGCACAGGGGGAACGATACCTGAGATAAAAACACAGAGGAAGCAACACCCGAGTAACACAGACTGCAGCCACTGCTGATATCTAAGACAGAAGTGAAAGAAAATAAAGGAACTGGATGCGTGTACTTATATGTGAGAGCGAGGGAGAGACCAGCTGCTTCAGTGAGAACCACTCCAGAGGCAGGAAGGGTAGCGGCAGTGAGGGCGGAGACCGATGGGGCTAGCAACAGAGATTGTGAAGCCATGACAATCGTCTGAGCAGAGAGAGTCATTCGGCAGGGACTGAGCGATCTCTGTGTGTGTGTGTCACTGAACTCAGCAGCAACTCGAATAAAGAGCGGAGCTGCCGGAGAGGAAAGACATGGAAAAAATGACTGGGCAAATCAGGGAAGAATTAAGAGTGGAAATAGATTAAAAGCGTAAACGCTGGAGAGGAGACCTTTGAACAAGCTGGGAACTGCACTCACGAAGGAAGAGATAGAATATTGGTCAAAGTGGAACACTGCCCTTATCAGATTCTGTGACAGTGGACACTATCTGAAGATTGAGTGAGAGGATCAAGACAAAAGCAGGACTATTGGGGAGAATGAAAGACAGTGCTTGCCTGGATTAATCTCACAAAGCTTGATCCCAGCCCCCAAACGAGACAATACCCAGCACTAGCAGATACCTGTTCGCTTTGTGTGTTTCTGGCATGAGATGAAGTTCAGGAATGAAAGTATTTTAACAGCGCTCGTCCTGGGTACATTTCTTTCTATGTCCTGGTTCGCTTCCCGGCTGAATATGAAAGGTATGTGTGGCGTTTCTGTCTGGGCACATGGTACTCTGCAGTGGCTAGTCAGAGGCAGGTTGAAGTTGCACCCCAATAGATACAGGACACTACTTGACGATAGTTGGTACTCCCTTGTTTTGGAATGAAGCACAACTCCTATATATTGCACATTTCTCTACGTATTTCTGTGCGTTACACTGGAATCAAAAACCCAACAAGATTCATTGATTCCGATAGTAACAGGTGAAGAGTCCAAATAAAAATGCTGAGTTTGAATATAAACATCATTGGAATTACACTTCTGAGGTAAAGAGTTTGAGAATTTTTTTCAAACAAAAACCTTATTTATAGAATTTTTAAACTAAAAAGGACACTAGAAAACATCCAAATTGAATATTATGGAAAGTGCAATAAAACAAAACTTTTTTTATACTCTTGTATTGAATGGAACATGCTGTATAATTCTTGATATGAGCAATTTTCATTCCGTGTCAGGTAAACAGACCAAAGGCAATACATTTCAACTTGAATATTACCAAAAGTACAACAGAGTTCAATATTTCTCCATATACTACTCAGATTTGCCTCAATTCAACGGTGATATTCCTTGTCAGGCATACAGATCAAAGTTTCCACACGATTTCCAGTTCCTTGATATACACTGGTGAAACACGGTAGACAACGACCTTATTATTAGGTTAGATTTATATTGCCAGCTTGGAAACTCAAACTCATATAAAAAAAAGCCCTGAATGTCTTAGATCTTTGTGTCTTCTACTCTTCAAAGTCATACTTGTGCTACTGTTGTATTCACTTGGATGAATAGCATGAGCATGAAGTCCAGCAAGTCATCAATGATTTGTTTAGACCAGATTGAATGTAGATTCTAAGTGTAATTATTTCTCTCCCTCTCAGAGTACTTCTAACATTTTCCACTAAGTATTTACAGTTTTTTTTTAAACTTGTGACTTCCCAGAAGCAACCTCAGGGACATAGTTAATGATTTCAATAATTGAGTAAGAGTTAAACTTTATCATGCAAAAACTGCTTTGCATTGGAGGCAAATATAGCCAACTGAATGCAGCCCAAGAAACAAATGACCAAATACTTCTACATAGATGGAATAGCAGAAGTTTCAAATCTATTCCACAAGTAATAGCTGATGCTTGGTCAATTGTTCATTTTAAATCTGAGATTGATAGATTTCTGCTTACTGTTAAGTTACTCAGAGCCAGGCACAGATATTCATGTTTAGGTCAAAGATCAATCATGATCTTACTGAATGGTAAACAGACCTGAGGGTCTTGGAGACCTACTGCTGTGTCTATGTGAGATTTTGTTTGGAATTTCTAACATATCAGGATTTTTCACAGAATGCAAAATGGGTTAATTTTAACATGTTAGTATTTAAAACAATGTATATTTACAAACATTTATGTTAGAAAAGTGAAAGTAGTTATTATGCAAATAGTACTTTTTTCCTTCCAAAGCGTGTAATGAAAAGTGACAGTTTTGTACTTAATAAATGCCTCATTGTCATAGGAATCTCAGGCACTGATAGCTTGGACAGGATGATTTGGCAGTTTACTAAAATTGCACAAAGAGAAATAGACCGGTAGGCAAATCAGGTTCCGCAAGATTGGTCAGATTTTTAACAAAAGAAAAAAATTGCTGCAAGGCCAGTGCTAAATCCAAAAGAAGAATTCAAGAAGAGTACATAGGAACATGAGAACAACCCCTCAAGGCACTTCCACTATTCAATGAGATCATGGCTAACCTGTGGTCTAATTCCATTTACCTGCCTTCGGCACATATCACTTAATACCATTGCTTATCAAAATTGATCTATCTCAGATTTTAAATTAACAACTGAGCTAGCATTCGCTGGCATTTGTGAGAGAGAGTTTCAAATATCTACCACCCTTTGTGTGTCGAAGTACTTGCTAACATCTCTCCTGAATTGTCTGGCCTTAGTTCTTAGACTGTGCCCCCTAGTTCTAGAATGCCTAGTCAGTGGAAATAGAATATCGAATAGGACACCACAGCAATAAGCCCTTCAGCACACCATGTCTGTGCCGACCATGATGCCATTCTAAACTAATCCCATCTGCCTGCACATAAACCATTTCCCTCTATTCCCTGTCTGTAAATTGTTTACCTTTATCTACTCCACCTTTTCCTACTAATATCTTGAAGACTTTCCCATCTATGTTAGAGTTGAAATCTTTCATGAATCCAAGCTGGCTCTCCCTGATTAATTCAAAATTTTCAAGGTGCTCAGTTACCCCATCGATGATTATTGATTCCAACAATTTCCCCACCACAGATGTTAGGCTAAGTGTCTGTAATTCCCTGGTTTTCCTCTTCTGTCCTTCTTAAAAATTGGAGTAATGTGCAATTTTCCAATCCAATGGGATGACTCCTGTGTCTAGGGACCTCTGACAGGTTACAGTAAGGGCATTTACAATGTGCTCCCCTACTTCCTTTAATACCCTCAGATGAAAACTTTCAGGTCCTGCAGATATGTTACTCTTTAACTCCATTAATTTCCTCATTATCAATGTTTTACTTTTGTTAATTTTAATCAGTTCCTATCTTTCATCCACTATTAATTTCCTTGTGACTTTCAGCAAGGTATCCTCCTTTCCTACTGTAAATACTGAGGTGAAGTAATTATTCAACATTTCTGCCATGTTGTTATATTCAAGGACACTTTCAATCCCCACTTTCAGTCTTTAGTGGGTCAATGTTGCTTCTGACTGCCCGCTTTCCCTGTATGTAACTATAACATTTCTTGTTATTGATTTTGAAGACCTTTGCAAATTTCCCCAGAAATTTTCTTTTAGTAGCTCTTATAAGCTGCTTGTGGCCCTTTACTGTTCTTTATATGTTTCCCATTCAGCATGAACTATGTTTTTTTTTCATTTTGTAAGCATCTTTTAGTTGTTTTTTATGCTGACTTATCTCTTTAGTTGTCAAAGCCCATGCTTTATTCTGTGAAGTGGAGCTTTTCTCTCTATCGGGTATAAACTAGTTTTGTATTGTGTTAGATGTTTCTTTCAAAATGCTCCATTGCTCTTCAGTTGTTTTACACATTAGCAGATTTTCACAGTTTATTTTGGACAGTTTGGCTCATCTAATTAAAGTCAGTTTTACGTAAAACTAGTAGCTCATACTCACGCGCGTACACACACAGACACACTCTCTCTCTCTTTCTCTCGCACACACCATATACATACACACACACATATAGTAGACACGGGCACACAGACACACACATGAATTATTTCATCCAAGTTATTGGTGTAGTCGTGGATACATTCTGTTTTGCTCAAAAAAAACCTGACCGCAGTTTAAAACATAGGCAGATCTAAGCAAGACCTCACGCTTAAAATGTATTGTCTAATCTGATATGTCACCTTTTGTATACATTGATAAAACCTCTTATTATCTCGGGACAATGACTTGAGAGGAATCTGTATTTTCATTTTAATGAGTAGTTTCCTTCCTAACTGATTAAAGATTCAACAAGAGATGGCCAATTTTAGGGTTGTTATCTTTCTGCTTATAAATTCGGTATCTTATACCCTATTTCTCACACTATGACTGAGGAAGGAGCTGAACTTCGAAAACTTGTGTTTTCAAATACACCTATTTATTATTTTTCTTTTACAGTTTAAGCAATACACTTCTTATAGTTTTGCCATTATCTGCTGTACCTGAAGTATGATTCCTGACTGTTTCTTTACTCTCTGTCATGTTACTTAATTTTGAAACCTTATTGACTATCCCACAGCCTCCTCCAAGCCGTCCCCCACCCAGTTGAAAGTCCTTCTGACTGCCCTATTTAGCCTTTCTACGAGGACATTGGTTGCTGATCAGTTCAGGTGAAGCCTGCCCCAATGATACAATACCTTCCTGTCCCAGTACTGATACTAGTGTCCCATGAAATTGAACCCCTCTTTCCCATGCCACTCCTTTAGCCATGTGTTTACTTGCCTATATATTTAAAATCTATATGCCAATTTACACGTGCTTGTGTAGTAGTCCAGAGATTATGACATTTGAGTTTCTGCTCTTTAATTTTGTTCCTAATTCCTGATATTTCCCAAACAGGATATCTTGCCTACTCTTGCCTATGTTGTTTGTCTCAAAATGGACCACAATAATTGCATCACTCCTCGCGCCCCCCAGCTCCCTTCCACTCCAATATCCTTTCAAGCCAGTTTGAGATTTCCCTTACCTTGGCACCAAGCAGGCAACACACCATCAGGGAAACTTGGTCCCACTACAAAGGGTACAAAGGGTACAAAGGGTCTCCTTTCTTTTGTCTGGCTTGGTTGAATTCTCTACAGGTCCTATTTCA